TAATTAGCCTTTCCCTAACGGTTAGTATCCCAGGAATGATCAGTTCCGGGCGAGATCTAACTACAAGCACGTCCATAAACCATTTATTTAATAAATCCCAAGTGGGCCGGATTTCAGAATGTCACATTTATGGTTCGATCCAAAGAAAAAGATGAAAGTGGGCGGTGAAGATTCAAGTTCAGACATGTTGATGCAAAATGACACTTGAATAAAGGAAGGCAGTCCCGCTAGCAACCTTCATGGTTCGGTCCGAAGAAAAAGATGAAACTGGGTGTTGAAGATTCAAGTTGAGACATTTTGATACAGAAAGATACTTGAATAAATGGGAAGCAGACTTAACATTGTGCTCAATGTGAAAAGGAGATTATTGAGATGAATATATGAGTTATGTTAGAAAAGTCTCATATTGGATAATTGATGTGGTATAGAATAGTTAATATATCTTAGTTTAGATATATAATTAATATATCTTAATTGGCCCCATTACTCATTTGCTTAGATTTTTGAGTAAATGTGGGCCCAACTAAATATGCTAACAGACTCAGACTTGGCTTTCTCTATGCGATCTCCCCAAGTGAAGGGAACATAGACAATAGAAGGTAAGATAGTAGGACGACAACAAACTGTGTGGCTGCTCGATTGATAGAGGCAAGTGACAGCGACCGACTGCTCGATAGACAGAAGCAAGTGATAGAGACCACAAGTTATTGAATCACAGATCTTGTAATGTTAGTATGTTCATGATGGATGTACATTAGAGAGAGTTGGTAACTACCTGTCGTCTTCATTGTTAGTCTATCCCAAGAAATATTTTAGCATTCTGTATTAGCAAGTCCAACTCTTACCTGCAAGCAGGATTACGGATGATGCGTGGAATTTGACAAATGAGGGGCCGCGCGCTAAAAATAAACAGAGGCAGAACCTAGCTATGATTCTTTGTTAAAATTGCCAACCCAAAGGCGTAAATAAATAGGTGGAAGTAGACCGTTGTATATATATAAAGAGCATATAAACCTCGTTGATACACAATGTGGGATTCTTTAACATTTTGCTAAAAAAAACTTCAGCAAAAAACTTGTTTTCACGTAATGGATCGATACAAAGTGCACCTATGAAGAGTACTTAGTCCAATATGCCATCAACATGTTTAAGACTCGTGAAAATTCTTCTTTTTACCGACATTACGAATACTAAATGTCATCATCATTTTGAAGCAAAGAATCAAGTCCTCGCGTTGAAATAGAAAGATGCTCCAAGACCTATATATACTGAAATGTATGTGGATCGTCAAATTTGATACCTCGTGAGAACCCCACGAGGCTTGTCAAATTGAACGATTTTCAAATTTTACTTCAATGTATATGAAAAACTCACCGAATACATCGTTTGAGATGAACAGAATTTAAAATTTGTGCTATCAACTTCATTTGTAAAAGAAAATCGTCAATCGAAAATTTATTTGAAAAGCATGCGCACCATAACATTCCAAAATGGGAATGGTACGTGTTGAAAAATACATATAAATTCACCTCAAAAAAAGGATCATAGTCCAATCCAAATATAGTCCTTCATGTACATATCCTCTGTGAATGGAAAAAAGTATAGCATTTTTCAGATTACGGTCCAAAAGCAGCACTGGACAACCTATATAAAAACTTTCCTTCAAAGAATTTTTCAAATACAAAGTTTCTAAATTAATGCTATCTTTGATCCTCTAATTTGTGTACTTCGTATATGACGTTCTGAAACATTCGATTCAACAGATGAAATACTCTAATTTCAATGGTTTGTGCGATCAAATCCTTTTGTCATGAACACACTTGGTTGTAATGTTGTCGCCGTGGATATTTAAAGATTTTAATATTACAGAGAAAACAACCAAACATTTGAATGAGTATTTCTTCATAACTTTGATAAGCTCTTAGGCAAAAAGAAATAATAATGATGATGATGATGTTAATAATAATTGATCGACTCACATATTAAGAAGGAACATCTGTGATGGTGAATGGTGATGCTGGGACAGGTTAGGGTGCCAATGACTAAGGCTAGGGTAGGTTAGTGAGCCACGCAGGCTCAGTCACACCATATAGGCCGGTGACGTGGTGATTACGAACCACTGAATATTTTCTCTAGGGTAGACATAGAGAGTGACGCCAGACAGTTTCTCTCACCTTTCAATGTTTCTCATTTCTTATTGATTTTCTTCTTTATTACACTAATTTTTAGATTGGCCAAACAATATAAAGCTGAATTTGCAGAATTTTAAAATTCTTGTTATGCTCATAAATTAGAATTTATGAAGCCAACAACATAATTCAATATGATTAAGGGGGGTTAATGACGAAAGGACTCGATTGGAATCATGTTAACCACACAAACTACAGATTAAATGACTCGATTGCATTAGGACACAAATTAGAAGATTAAAAGCAGGATTTCGTCCGAGAGCGTGGACCAATTGAGGTGCGTGAAAACCATCCCAGACACCACCTGGCCCACTGGAAAACATAATCTTCCTGGGTACGCATTTATTAGGATAAATTCACTAAATGATGTTAAAACACATAATGTCTTCTTTTGGTTGAAAGTTTCTTCCCGAACACATGGATCAGGCAAATAAGATAATCATCAGAATATAATAAAACAGGGAAATGAAAATAGAAAAGCACAAAATTAATCAAGATAATAAAAATTTAAAAGAGATGGGACAGTTAATATTAGAAAACAAAAGTAGGATCAAGCAACGGACCATGTAAAATAAGAAATAAAAGCACCATCTTATTGAAAAAGTTAGGAAAAAAATAATTTACTTAAAATAATAAAAGCACAACCAAGCAATTAGTCATTAGCACCAAAATTAGAAACATCATATACTTACACTAAAATGCATTAAACTATCTAAAACATACTTGTACACAAGTTACAAACAATGAAACATTTCACCAATCTTAAACCTAGAGCTCAACTATAGTTGAAAACGCTTTTCGTGGGAAAGAAATAGAAAGAGACAACACTACAGTTCTGCTATAAAAATGGAAAGCAAATGTGATTAAATGATCAACGATAGATATATTGGTGATTAGAATTTAAAGCATAAATCAACTAAACTACATCGCATTATCCACGGTAAGTTGATGATCGGTGGAACATACTATGTTGAAATCCACTTTCTTACGATATTTTTTCAACTCTAGTACTTTTTTTGTCGAACCCCGTGTGTGTTGAAATCCTCAACCACCATTCCTTGTACTATAGCTTGTGAAAGAGTAAAGGGAGAAAAATACAAAATCTATCAAAATTAGCAAAAGAGGCACGCCTGCAACTTTCCTTACCAAGCCAATTCATTTCGAGAAATATAGGTTTTATTATGCCGTTGTGGTTATTAAAGCATTGTAAAGAACAAAAAAACACGTTTAATTATTCTCAAACGATCAAAATAGGATATTCGTGCTAAAAACGGACAAAAGAAGCAAAAACAATAGGTTCCGACTAGATACATAATAAATCGAAGACTCATTAGCGAATCAATGTTTTTTTTTTTTTATTTGGTAGCTAAGGGTGCGTTTGGCAACCATTTTGTGCCTGGGAACTGATTTTGCTCAGAAATTATTCTTTTTTATTCCGTACTCGGGAACAATTTTTAAGCATTTGAAGGCGTTTGGTAACTGCCCAAAATTTATATTCTTAGAATAGAAAAAGAACAGAAATACATTTGGTAACTGTCCAAAAATTCTTTTTATTAATAATTTTTTTCAATTTTTTTCATTTTTCCTTTTTTTTCTCTTTTTTTTCTTCATCTTCCCCTTCTTGGCCCATGGCTAGGTCGCCAGCGCTGGCCACAAGCCAGGGCCGCCAGCCCTCGCCGCCGCGACCCATCTCCCTCGCCTGGGTCGCGACGGCGAGGTCGGCCTCACCATGGCTGGGCAAGGGCCGCGACGCCCTCGCCAACTTTGGCCTGTGGCTGGTCGCTGGTGGCCGGCGGCCGGCCAGGAAGAAGAAAAAGAACAAACCAAGAAGGAAGAAGAACAAACCAAGAAGAAAGAAGAAAACCAAAAAGAATTATAATGGAAAAATTGTTCCCAGAATCAAGAAGCTACTTTTTTTGCTTCTTGATTCTGTTCCAAAACTGATTCTGGAAACAAATTTTTAAAAAATTTATGCCCGGGAACAAAAAATTTACCACACGGATTTATGTTCCAAAACTGATTTTGGGAACAAAAAAACAGAAATTATCACTGTTTGGCAACTTGCCAAACGAGCCCTAAGAGTACACCTAGTTAGGGGTGTCAACGGTTTGGTTCGGTTCAATTTTAAAAATCGAACCGAACCGAACCGACGGGAGTGCATTCTTGAACCGAACCGAACCGAATCTTGCTTGAATCGAATACAAAATTTCGGTTCCAATTTTGTTCGTCTCGATTTTTGGTTTCTTCCTCTTTATTCTTTTTTTTGCTTTTTTATTTGGTTAGGCAGAATCTTAGCTGCTAGCTGGACCCAGCTACCCCTCAATTATTCATCCCTCCACCCTCTCTTCACCTTCCTCCTCTCTGGTGTGACCTCACCCACTCTCTCTCTCTCTCTCTCTCTCTCTCTCTCTCTCTCTCTCTCTCTCTCTCTCTCTCTCTCTCTCTCTCTCTCTCTACAGTTCCCCCACAAAACCGAACCCATCTGCTCCTCGGTCGCCATCGCCGTCACTCTCTCTGCCCTCGTCCTCCTGGTGGCCGCCCTCCCCGTCCTTCGCCGCCGTTGCCGGAGCCAGGACTTCGCCGACGATGCCAAGACCCAGAGATTCGACACCACGAACGGTGGTTTGCCAGGCAATGCCGAGGCAAACGGTCGATAGTAAGAATTTTAAAAATCTTAAAACTATTCAGAGACTGAAAATTTTAAAAAACCAATACTGAGAATCGATCAATTATTCAGATTATGGACTAAGAACCTTTCTCGATAGAGCAAAAAAGCGTGCATGATCATAGAAAAGTTGGTTTGGTACGTACCTCTAGGGCGTGCTTGAAAACGCACTTGGGGAGTCTAGGGAAGCGGAAGCTGCCAATGTCAAGCAACTTCTTTAGTGCATCCGCCGAATCAGGCAACAGAAACTCCGACCACGTCGGAAACCCCATCCTCTCCAAGCACTCCCGGCTCAACGACTCCGTCAGCGCCGGGCCGGAGCACGTCGCCACCACCGACAAAACCAGCTCAGGCCGCGACTCGGCCAACCTGAACGCCACCATCGCGCCGTAGCTGAACCCGACCACCGTGCACCGCCGCACCCCGAGCTTCGCCAGCCCCCTCCCCAGGCACTCCGCCTGGAATCCCACCGTCCGGCGGCCGTGGCGGGTGGAGGAACCGCCGAAGAAGAGGAGGTCCGGCACGTAGACTGCGTAGTCCCTCGCAAGGGCGAGGACTTGGAACTGCCACGTCAGGATGCCGTCGCCAACGAAGCCGTGGAGGAAGACGACGGCGGGTTTTTCGCCGCTGTTGGCGTTCTTCCTGGATCGAATCGGAGCCCAGATGTTCATGACGGTCCCTGGTTCGACCTCGATCTTTTGGGGTCTCAATCCGGCGAGCTTCATGATCGCTCGCAACAGGGGCTTGTAGAGCTTGACTGTGTTCACCATTCTCTCTCTCTGTCTCTCTCTCTCTCTCACAGCTTGATTGTGCACAGTGTCGTCCTCTTCGCCGTTCAGCCGTTCTGACCAATTTAACGGAAAGCAGATGTCAGTCCCCATTGTCTATTCACATCAGTGAAGTCCCTACAATTTCCACGAAGAGTAATTGTAGAAAATAATCTTCTCCAAAAGGATAAGTATCACGGTTCAGTGACCCCACAATCATTGATCTGATCGCCGATCAGTCAGTGACCAATGGAAAGGTCACTAAGACCGTTTTAACTCTACAAACTGACACATTCTTCAGTCTTAACTCTCGCACCACTTCCGAATGTCGTTGCTCTCTAAGACCGTTTTGCAATTTTGTTTATTTTTCTTTCTCCTTAGAAAGGTCTAGTCGAGTGCTTTAACAATGGAAAACAATGACAATAACAACCGTGTTTGATCATCCCAAAACAATTTGAACTTCACCTTGCAATTGTCCTGTAACTCAATAAGTATCACGACAAAAATATTTACGTACTTGCTCCACCCTTGCAACCAGCCGAACACGGCAACGAAACACAACGACGCGATGATTGGGAGGAATTGGGGAGAGGGACGCCGGAAGGTAGTTGTCGCCAGGACAATTCCCTAGACGAGACAGCTACCCCCTAAGAAAAACAGAAGCAACTACGGATGGGTTATTTGTGGAGGAGAACGTCCGGGGTCCAAAAGATATATCGGCTGAAGGTCAATGCAATGACCTACAGCTGGGTTTACACAATTGTGCAACTCATCCGCTCGACGTTGGAGCTGTGCCATTACATCACTCTTTCCTTTGAGTGCCAACTTCTTTCTCATTTCTTCCTTGAGGGTCATTTTCCTAGGACATAAAGACGAAAATAAGTGCCATAATAAAAAGAAAAGGGAATCGAGGACTTCAGGGAGACCGTCAATAGGAATGAAAACAGGTAAAAGTACACTATAAGTGCCATAACTTGTGTACGGCGATCACTTTAGTGCCATAACTTTTTTTCGGATCACTTTGGTGCCAACTTTTTTGAAAAACGATCATTTTAGTGCCAATGCTGACGTGGCTCGCCGGAAATCCGATGTGGCGCTGACACGGCTCGCCGGAGAGGTCCACGGCTCTCCGGAGAGGTCTAGTCAGCATTAAAAATCCAAAACGACGCCGTTTAGCCCGCTGACGTGTACTTTTTAAAAAAAATTATGTTATATTAAAAAAAAAAAGGCTACAACCGGAAAGGGCCGACGGTGGTGGGCGCAGTGGTCGGCGAGGGTCGCCGGCCCCTGGTCGAGGCCAGGCGACCCTCGCCTCACCCAGCAAGGGCCGGATCCGGCGAGGTGAGACCTCGCCGTCGCCTGGGTCGTGACGACGAGGTCTCGCCTCGCCCAGCGAAGGCGAGGCCGACCTTGCCGTCGCGACCCAGGCGACAGCGAGGTCTCGCCTCGCCCAGCGAAGGCGAGGCCAAACCTCACTGTCGCTTGGGTCTCGACAGCGAGTTCTCTCCTCGCCGGATCTGGCCCTCGCTGGGGGAGGCGAGGGTCACCGGGCCCCGGCCAGGGGCCGGCAACCCTCGCCGACCACTGCGCCCACCACCGCCGGCCCTTCCTGGCAGTGGTGGGTTGGCGGCAGTAGCGGCGAGGGCTCCCTCGCCGCTGCTGCAACTTTTTTTTTTTAATTATTATTATTTTTCTAAAAATTAAAAAATTCGAAAAAAAGCCACATAATTTCCACGTGTACAAGTCAGACCATTTTTTTTTAATATAAATGCCAGGTCAGCTTTTTGGCCGGAATTTTGGCCGAAGTCACTAAAGTAATCTATTTTCCTCCGACTTGGCACCAAAGTGATCCGAAAAAAAGTTATGGCACCAAAGTGATCGCCGTACATAAGTTATGGCACTTATAGTGTACTTTTGCCAATGAAAACAAGCAACCAACTTATCTTCGAATCAAACGAGGATGAGGTCTTGTGTTAGGATTTCATTGCAAGAGAAAGTATCACTGAAGGGTATTATGTGCCAATCAAACATATGCCCCATTGATTTGAAAATGTTTGTAATCGATCATGGGGAAAAGTATCAAAAAAGTCATAAACTTATTGCATTTGTGCCAATTTAGTCCTAAACATTTTGTCTTTGTGCCAATTCAGTCATTCCGGTTAATTTTGGCCGAAGATTGCTGACGTGGACGTCGCTTGGCCTACGTGGCATCGCCGGCGCTGACGTAGATAATTTTTAATGATATTTTAATATTTTTTTCGATTTTTTAAATCATTTTTTCTGATTTTTTTTCTTTTGTTTCTTTCTTTTCGTTTCTTTTTTCTTTCTTCTACCTTTGGCTGGTGGCCGGTGCTACATGCGATGGCCGGCCACCGGCCATGGCCAGGCAGGCTGGCCCCGCCTAAGCGAGATCATCGTCGCCTGCCATAAGCGAGGCCCAACCGACCCTCGCATGGGCGAGGGCAAGTCCTGGCAAGGGCCGGCCTCACCAGATTTAGCAAGGGGAGCCCTCATCGGGGCTCGCCCTCTCCTAGACAATGCCTGGGGAGGGTCAACCTTGCCCAGGCTAAGACAGCCTCGCTGAGCATCACCTTAGCGCAAGCGATGCTCAACTAGTTCGTCCTTACCCAGGTGAGGGTCGCCTGGCCTTGCCTGTGGCGAGTGATGGCTACCTCGCCCAGGCAAGGCCAACCCACCTGGCCAGTGGCCAGCCATTGCCTATGGCCGATGGCCAATCACCGACCAAAGGTAGAAAAAAGGGGAATGTTGACACTTAAATTTTGGCTCACTATTTAGAAATAATTACACAAAATTAGGGACTAAACTCTAGCCCCTGACAAAAATATTAAAGTTAAATTGCATGGCATTTAGTTTTAAGAACGTTTATTAGGTAGCTGCATTTGCATCGGACCAGTGGCGGATAGTTCTGAACTTAATTGAGCCCGCATGGATTGGGAACTCGGCCAAGCCCGTTCATTATTATGGCTGAATTTTTTGCATGTGGGGGAATTTTAAAATATATATACATAGAAGTTCACGATATTGGCAAGGGCAAAATATAAAACATGCGGATCTTTATCTTTGGAATAAACAGAAAGGAAATTGTGATAGGCTCGATACGAAGGAACGATCTTTAAGAAAGCCTATATTTATAATTCGGTGCACTTGGTCAATAATAGAAGAACAAAGTACCCACAATTCATTCTTCACCGTGATGGGCGTTTAGGCACGTGTCCGAAAATATCCTCCTTGATCTGCTGGAGATACCCATAATTCCTTGGGCATTACTTTTCAGTCGTTTGATGGAAAAGAAGAAGAGCAGCTTGGAAAGAAATATTCACGTGCGGGCATATATTATTTGAGCAATATATCTTTCTCAAAACAAGAAAGAGTATACTGTCAAGGAGCTTCGCGTCCATAAGTGGAAGAAGAATGGGAAAGAGCAAAATTATAATATATTTTTAAGAGGAAAGAATATTGACTCCCTTATTCTGAAGGCCCAAGTCGTCCCTGCTTATAAAAGACGACTTATCAGAGACAAAAAAGGGGGGATTTTTTTTAGAAGACACTTTTGAGAGCACAAGAGAAACAGCGAGAGTGAGAAAGAGAGTTGTTCGCGCGTGTGCCCGACGGTGCCTCCCACGCCTGGCCACCCGCATCCGCACGCTTGTCCGAGCCCGCGGCCGTCGGCCCCTTGGCCGTCGGCCCCTTGGCCGAGCTTCCCTTAGTCCCAGTTTCTGCCACGCTGTGCCTGTGCCGAGCCGACCGCCCACTGTCCCATGCCTCGCCGCGCCGCCACGTCACGCTCGAGTCACCGCCCGTGCTGCTGTCGCCCTTGCCGTAGCTCCTCTTGCTGCCCGTTGCCGCGCCCTCTGCTCACGGCCAGATCTGTGGCCGTGAACCGCCGTCCTTGTTTCCATCGACGATAACGTTGCTGTACCCTCTAACTGATTCTCGGTGGTGTCTCTGCAGTGAAGCATTAGTGGGTTCCCAGTCACCACCAAGTCCAGAAAAGTCAAGTGTTGGTCCAATTCACATTTTTTCTTTCTGACATCCACCAAGATTCATGCAAAAAGCTATCGCATGCACAACTGTGCTCTCTGGATGACACATCTGGCATCATCATCGCATGCATTTCTTCACGGGAGGAGGATGGCGACATTGGTGATCCGTGAAGCCATACCAACGTGGTGAAGTTCGCGCATCCCCGACGTGCTTGTCCGACACACCACCACCACGAGCTGAGCCGCTCCCCGTCGAACTGCCGCCACCGTCCGCTGGTCCAAACTTGGAAAGCAAATATTCGAATTAGGTAAAAGTCTCATCTAATTTGTTTTCGAGTATGTTGTTTCTTTTTTTAAAATATTACAATCTTCTGTGAATCTTTTAGCGATAGTGCCGTATCCATGAAATTCCCGAGTAAACTTTAAATTAAGAATTATTTCCTAATTTCACAACGTGCATATGATTGACAGTCCGATTTCATGCCCGAAATATGACTCGCGATCGCACGAAAAATCGTCAATCCGATCTCCCGCCCGAGATATGGTTCGTGATTGTGTGAAAAATTGGTTAATCCGATCCTCATGCCCGAGATACGATTCATCAATCTATTGTTTCTAAATTTAAACGGATATGGGTAATATTTCTTGTGTGAGATGGTGTCGTGTTGATTCGATTTCTATCTTTGTTTGATTTGAATTGATCTTGTTTTTCTCAACAAAAAAAAATCCCAAAAAGAATGAGTTGCTTTAGGATAGATTAGGATAGATTGCATTCTTAATTTGAGTAATTTTTAATTTCGAATTTTAATACCAAAAAAAGACACTTTAGGATAGATTAAAATTTTTTTTTTTTTAGAATAGGTTGCATGTTAATTTAGGCATTTTTTTAATTCCGAATTTCATTTGAAAATACCAAAAATAAATCATTTGTCCGTCATTAGAATTAGGTCACGTCGTCGCATGACATATAGTTTGCATGTTAGGCTGCATTAATCGCATGTTAATTTTTGCACGTCATTACATATAGGTTAGTTTTCATTTAAATAAGTGAA